ACCCAATGTGTAGTGAGCCAGGATCCTTACTGTCTCAGTGCCCGGATTCGTGTACACGACATACTGGTTCACAACCTCGGAAGCTAAGGATCTGATTGAGATGCTCATCTGTTTGATCAGGGTTGCAGCTGAACTTTGCGGGTAGATCTCCAGTATAGGCTGGTATATGCTAATTCACACTGCAGACCAACGCCAACAGTCACAAGATTATAGCACGTCACTTCTTAGACATTCTAATTCTGATTCAGCATGTTCAATTGGCAAAAACAAGCTCTGACAGAGGCCAACAGACTACGGGTTGCACACTGATCCAACTAAAGTGTCTGTGAATTGGCCTTTAGTCAGTATTGAACACTGGAGTTTTAAATATAGCTGAATGCAAACATACATTCCGTTTCTGTTGTGAAAACAGACCAATATACTATTGTTTTTTGAATATACATTTCGATATATGTTTCGACACTCATGTCTTCATCAGGCACAATCAGCTGCTTTGAGCCGGATGAAGACCTGAGGGTCGAAACGTCACCTTTTAATAAATTCTGTTGGAGCAGTTATTTTCCGTGTGCAGACTTCACACTTATTTATTTGTTTATATCACTTAGGCCCCGTTTACACAAAGGGAAAACGCAGATATTTCCCTGCAGATTGGCCTTTCGTTTACACGAAAAACCCAGTTTTTATCACAGAAAACGATTATTTCTAAAAACTCCAGCCAAAGTGGAGATTTCTGAAAACGCCGGTTATGTGTTGTCGTGTGAACTGGAAGAAATGGTGTTTTAGGTTCTCTCTTGTCGATTCTGAGGATTCTGATTGGCTTGCATGGCTATATCCTTAACCCCTACACTGCCGTTGGGTAGGTTTGGCATAGTTATGACGGCGCTCGACGGCGTATTTATGCGGGTGTGTGAACGATGTTATTTTTGAAAACGGAGAGGGGGAAATATTCGTTTCGCTAAATACCCGGCTTTGTGTAAACGTGGCCTTAGTTGTCCTGCACCTGAGCCCAATTTGGGTGTCTGGGATGTGCACACCATTTTTTTCTATTTTTTGAACCTTTTAACCACTCATTACAAAATATATTTAATACGTTTATTTTCCCTGATTGACTCTTGATGTTTGTAATTTGTCTTCCGGTTTTGCATTTCTTTAAAGCATAAGCTTTCTTATAACCTAACCCGGAATGCCATGGCTCTATCTTTCTTTCAAGCATTAGTATGAACGCTGCACCCAAAGCCGGTTTGTTTACTCAACCATGCATGGAGTCGTAGAACTTTAACCTTTGACCTGTTGCACTTCTCACAAAAAGCCTCCTCTGAGCAAATAGAGCTGCTTGGCATTCAACCTCCCAAGAAAGTGGCATTTTTGTACAGATCTCTGACCACCCCCCTCTCTAAACCAAATCCAGATTTTATAGTTCCTAGAAGAAGATGAAAACTGGCACTGAACACTTTGTGCATCATTAGGCATGTTGCTCTGAATGGCTGCCGTGAGCTCAGGGCAAGACAACCAGGAGAGCCTGTTAATGAGAGGAAGTAATGCTCTTCGTTATATTCATTATGTTACATAACATGTTAAACTGGTCTACTTAAAATATGATACCATATACAGTCTCAGCTATAAACCAGAGAAAGACAGGTTTTTATTTTAAAGAAAGAATCTTGTACACGTCAAGATTTAACAGGCAGGCAAACAGGTGTGCATCACCCCACCAAACAAAAACAAAAAAAAACGTAAAAATGTAACAGTGGTGTTTGCAAAGCTGCATGAACCTCACAGTAGGGCCTTTGACTGCCTGTCATTTTGGAGGTGATCCAGAATAAATTGGCTAAGTTTAACTTATTTATAGGCTATTAATATTATATATAGACTAGAACCTTCAGTTGAGAGATTTCTCGGTGCAAAATGTAGTGCTGACGTGTTGGAGAGATGTTACAATAACCCACACTTCTTGAGACACAACATCTAAAATAACTTTCTAATGTTCTCACATCAAGTCTTGGTATATGTTAGGTCAAATCAGTTTCCCTATTTCAAACACAATCATGTACAGAGAATTTGGTTGCAACACGTTATTGTATGTGTCATCATTGAGAATTTTCCCAATTGTGCAATTTCCTTTGCATTTCAAAAATGGTCATGAAAATGACAGAAGGAATGAACTAACATTATACCTGAGAATTTGAATGATCTGTGACTAATATTTAACACATTTTAAGCAAGAAATTCAAATATACACTTTACTGTTAAAAAGTTTTGGGATAATATATATATATATATATATATATATATATATATATTTCTGCACAGATGCATTAAATTGATCAAAAAAGACTTTTACATTTGTTTCAGTATTGATCTTAATAAGAAATGTTTTTTTGAGCACCAAATCAGCATATTAGAATGATTTCTGAGGATCACTTGACATTTTTTCAGGATTCAGAATGTTAAAAATGACATGATGCTGAAAATTCAGCTTTGCCATGACAAAAATGCATTACGTTTTAAAATGTATTTGAATAGGAAACAGTTGATTACATTGTAATAATATTCCACAAGATTACTGTTTTTACTATTTTAAATAAATAAATGCAGTTTTAGTGAACATGAAATACTTCTTTCAAAAAACATGAAGGCACCAAACCTTTGAATGGGAGTGTACCTTAACATTAATTTGTAAAAGATCTAGCTGTTAAAGAGACAATGCTAAATATTACTTGAGTAAGTGGAAGTTAGTGATTTATTGACATCACTAAAACAGAACAATACAGTAAAATATAACAGGGTAAACATGAGGAAAAGCAGGACCTTATGTGTCTGGGGCTTCCCAGAGTTATTGTGTTTGTTTATATTGTTGAATAAAAGAGAGCTAAAATGCAGTAAGTTCTTATTGCACAATGACAATTCAATTCAGGAACATCTACACGTTTGTGCAGCCTAAGAGTTCAGAAAAACTGAGAAATACAGACATACAGAAATATTCAGCAAGTGAGCTTCAAAAATATGAACCCACACTATTCCGCAAAGCATTGTAAAATATTGTGTTGCTGAGTTTTATTCAGTAAAACAGGGGCACATGAGGAACAAGAATCAGATAGGGTGGGACAGAGAAAGAGAGAGAGGGAACAATAGAGAGCAGGGCAACAAAAAGTCACTCTATTTCCATCTGAAAGGAGTTCCCCAGCTTGGGCCGCTGAGAATTGAAGACGGAAATCATTTTCACTTCAGTGGCCGTCTCACGTTCTCAAGGAAAGTAGAGGTGGCATTGAAATGTCTGCATAAAGTTACAGTACAAAACAAGACACATGAATCATATAAATCATGATCATCTGTTGCATTCAGTGTAAATCTACCGGCGATCAGATCATGTAAGATGATGTTCTTTTTTTGTCATTGTTTTTTGTTTCATAATTTTTTGGTCAACTTACAGTTTTAGCCATTATACTTCATGGTAAAATCGTAGCATCAAAATTGTGTAATTGGGTAAAGCCGTAGACAAAAAAGGTTAGAAAGTGATTTTTTCCCCCACAAATACATTAACAATGTATATTGTCTAGCTGTTATGGCTATACTACAGACACATAGTATTTAATGTTTACTGATTGGCCCCAATGACTTCCATTGTAACCCAGTGCGCTGTAACCCAGATTTCTGCTATTTTTCTTTTAAAGAAAAGGGGAGACATTTCAAAAATGATTTTTGCAGTAATCAACTTAATGCCAAAAGTAATGCTGATTTAGCTTGAAGCTGATTTTTTTCCTTTTACATTTTACAATGTTATCATCACACGTGTCTCATATCAAATGAATATACACTTTCAGCTTAATTATCTGCCTAATGACCTAAAAACATAAAATAGAAGAAGAGGTGGGTGTGGGATGTGACCCAGATTTCTCCCCAGAACAAAAAGTCTGGGTGTAGCTGCTGATTCACACTTATCAAACATCCATTTGTTGTTTCTGTTACGATGATACAAAGTCAAGGCTTAAGAGAGGGAAACCTTTCAAAAGCCTTTTATGCATGAAGGATGTATAAGCTAATATTTCATTTCCAGCTTTCTGAATAAACAATAAAGTCGTGTATCATGAATCTTTTCCTCATTGCTCTATTTTCCTGAAGGCCGTGTGGATCAACAGTAGTTCAGTTCTGCTCATGAGTGCCGTGGACTGGTGATGTCAAACGGCTGTTTGTTTATTCTGAGTCTGACAGCACCCTTTATCATTTAGATTAAAGACCTAATTAATTTGTCTCCTCATGACTGCTGGTGCACTGTGTTTTAGATTGTTTTCACACTTTGTTTCTCATATAGATTAATTATGCTGTATTTTGTGCTGGGGGAGAGGTGGGCTGTTCCAGAGGTCTCTTTCTCTGAAGCCTACAGTAAGCATATTAGTTTTTGAAAGAAGTCTCATGCTCATCAAAACTGCATTTATTTGATCATCATCATCATCAAAAAAACAAAAAACAAAAAAAAACAATCAGAAAATATACAGTTTAACA